TCTTAGGTCTTTATTTTCTCCCCCATCCAAGTACTAACCAGGCCCGACACTGCTTAGCTACCGAGGTCAGAAGAGACTGAGCATATTTAGTGTGGTACAGGCATAGACTAGGTCTTTACCTTCTTACTGAGTCTTTCCTGATAACGCGATTTAAAATTAGAACCTTTCAACACTAAATTCCTCTTCCTTGTTTCATTTTCCTCTATTGTACATATCACCAACCTATACATTATATTCTTACTTATTCTTAATTATATTGTAACAGTTTTCTTCCATCAGTGTCTAAGCTCTCCCATTGACAACCATCACAGTAATAACTGATGGAGGCAAGAATCTATCACGGATGTTACAACTAGTGGGTGAAAGTTTGATTTACATCTCTCTACAAGATCTGTATCCATTATAAAGGGGAAAATAGCAACTTTGTGGTGGAGAATCTTGACAGACACTATCTTAACTAAGGAATCAAAGTGAACATTACACACAATGAGATAACTTGATGTCATGTGATGCAAGGCGAACACAGCATCACTTTTGTGGAGTTGATGCCAAAAGTCTTATCATGAGGAAACATTTGACAAACCAAATTGAGGGATAGTCTACGAAATAACTGATCTGTATTCATTAAAAAAAAAAAAGACAAAGACTGAGAAAATCTTCCATATTATAGAAGACAACTGCACGACTTCTTTCAGTTCCAGTGGCCCCAGTTCATCTTAACCCTCCCAGTGCCTGCGTGATTGCAATTTTCCACTGACAGAATCACTCACCCGGCTCTGCCTGTTTTCATCGTTAGATCTCCCTTCAGATTATTCCCCACCCACACCCTCTAATACTGTCCACAGGTGCTCTGTGCCTCCAGTGATATGGGCACACACACCCATGTTACCCTATCTTCTTCAAGAGAGGGCAAACAGTTGGCTTAACTCCTCAGCATCTCTATCTCATCACTGCAGCTTTGGCACCGCTCCCTTGAGGCAGTTCTAGGGACAGACAGATGCCACAGACATCTCCAATCAACCCCCAGGGGCCCTTACTCAGCTCAGCTGAGGGCAGAATTTCACATTTTTGTTGCCCTGGATAGTCCAAAAAGAAAGTAAAGGCCAGGGGTTGGCAGAAACTGGTCCAGACAACTGATTTTTTTTTTTTTTCATCTAAAGAAAGTTATCGGGATAATTGGTAAAGTTTAAATAACACCCATGGATTAGCTAATAGTACTGTATCAATGTTAAATTCCTTTTGATAATCATATTGTGATAAAATAAGAACATTCTTGTTTTTAAGAAATACACACTGAAATAGAGATAATAGGGTATCAAGTTTTTAATTTACTCTCAAATGATTCAGAAAAAAAATAGAATAGATAAATAGAGATAAGAAAGGGAGAAAGTCAATCAAATCTGGTACTTTTTAAATATTGGGGGAACCTGGGTAAAGATTGTTTAGGAAGTCTTTGTACCACTTCTGTGACTTTTTTTTTTTCTTCTGTGACTTTTAAGTCTGAAATTATGTTAAAATAAAAATCTCAAAAAAATTGAAGTGAGCTCCATGAAGACAGAAATTTTTATTTCCTTTGTTCATTGGTGTGTCTTTAGCATCTGTCCTTGGTATGTTCTGCATATTCAATAAATCCCCGTTGAATGAATGAACAATAGCTTTGGACTTAACAAGGTTCTAGGTGCTCAATAATATCTTTTGAGTGAATGAACACTGTTTTACGAGTTATCAGTGAGGTAACTGGCTCAAAAATGTGCCAGCTCCGTGGGGATCTGTATACACTTATTTTTCACCTAAGGCTTTCTAAGCAACAGCCACCCACCCTGCAGAGTCCACTGTCTGGCTCTGAGTAAATCCAGGAGAGACTCTGTGCTGACCTTCATCCCTCACCTGCTCATCTCCAGCAGCTTTATCAGAGACACACCTATTGCATCAATAAAAAGTTTTATTGTGAATTATCCCAAGGGATAGATAAATAGTCTCTGTAAATCATTTGAAAAGTGTAAGATGTGGGGGTAAGGGATAGTTATGGAGTTCGAGAAGGTCATGTACACACTGTTATATCCAAAATGGAAAACCAACAAGGACCCACTGTACAGCACATGGAACTCTGCTGAATGTTATGTAGCAGCCTGGATGTAATGGATACGTTTATATGTATGGCTGAGTCCATTCGCTGGACACCTGAAATTGTCACAATATTGTTTATCACCTATACCCCAATACAAAATAAAAAGTTTAAAGGAAAAATGTTTAGGACGGCAGTGGAGAAAAGACTAGGGTCAAGTCATGATGATGAGGAGGGCAATCATGGAGATGCCATCAGACTGAAGGAAGGTTGTTGGGCTGTCTGGGCGACTATTTCATGGCGGACGTGGGCGACTCACCGGGATTCCGTATCGGGTCCGATACATTGTCCTCATGGCGACACTTGATCCGCACAAGCAGAATTCGTTCATGTCAGAGGCGATCTGACACGAAAGGCACAGGGGACAGAAAGCCCCGCAGAGACCTGAGTGCAGGGTGAAATCACAGAGGAATCAGTCAGGATTGTAAGGAGGCCGACTTAATCATACCTCTTCCAAGGGCTTCCCGGGCGGCTCCGTGGGAAAGAACCCGCCTGCCAATGCAGGAGACATAAGAGATATGGGTCCTATCACTGGGTTGGGAAGATCCCCTGGAGGAGGGCAAGGCAACCCACTCCAGTATTCTTGCCTGGAGAATCCCATGGATGGAGGAGCCTGGCGGGCTACAGTCCATGGAGTTGCAAAGTCGAACACAACTGAGCATACCGCTTTCAAGAAAATACATACTCAGGAAATGGCCTTAATGGACACTTGGTGAAAACAACGGGGTCACCTGGCTCTTTATGTCTTGCTTCTAGATCCCGCACACACTGGGGAAATTTGCTCGTCATATGCCAGGTCAGATTTAACTGCAAAACGCCTGCCTTGCCAGGATGGGAGGGGAATTTGGGGGAGAATGGATGCATGTATACATATGGCTGAGTCCCTTCGCTGTTCACCTGAAAACTAGCACAACATTGATTGTTAATTGGCCATACCCCAATACAAAATAAAAAGTTTAGAAAAAACATTGCTTTTAAAAAAATTGCTAACTTCTCCCCTGACAACCTTAAGTCATTAAATCATCAAAATAGTCATCCCCCCAAAAAAAGTTCCTGCCTTGTTGATCTGAGCATGTCCAAATTATCTTTCTTCCTTATCCTTGTTTATACTTGGAGCACTGGAATAGGAAGTTTGTGGCGTCTGAATGTCTGAAAAACCCTCTGAAAGCTGTGGGAGGGTGCTTAGGATCAGAAAACATTGAGTAAAGAAATCATTGGAAAACTGAGATAAGCAGTAGGAAACAGATTCTAGACGGTCATTCTGGCAAAGAGTAAAGTTCTATTATTGTTATGAGGATCGAAGCAAGTAAAAGTTAAGGGATATTGACATAAAAACTTGAAAAGCATACTGAACTTTCACTTTTAAGAGTCTGTGTGAGACAAAAAAGGACCTAAGAAAATAGTGACAAACAGGAAACTGTTCTCAAATGTGCTGAGTTCAAGCTTATTTTGAAAAATTTTTTTTAGGGTGGAGTTTTGTCATGGCTATACCCTAGATGAGATAAGAAAACTCTTATTTTTTGATTGATGGTTTTCAGCAAAAGGCTGTCTCCACAGAACTTGGAACTTCCATCATACACACACATAAAAGCGGCTCTTTTCTCAAGACAGTGGAAAGACTAGCCCCACAGAGAATGTCTACATCCCTTTGGGCAATAGACTGGGAAGCAAGGAAATTGTCTTACACCAAAGCGTGTTTGGTACTGTGAAAGAATTTAAGGTTAGGAAAGCTAAAAACCTGAAAGCTTCCTGAAATGGATTGACCACAAGATTCACAAGAATAGTGAAAACTGGAAACACAGACTCAGCCCTGTAGGGAAAGGAGAAGATTGGAGAAACACATCAAGAACACAGGGATGCTAATGAGGTGGGAAATATAAAGCCAGATGATCGATCTGGATAAGGATAATAAATTCAAGGCAGGCAGACAAAATGAATGAATAAAACAGGTTGAAAAAAACACAAACTAGCCAACAGTGGAGGATGGAGATGAATATGGCAAACTGTAGGGTGAAGGTCCCTTTGAATAGGGTTAACTAATGGGGTTAGAAGACTCTTGAGAGTCCCCTGGACTGCAAGATCAAACCATTCGATCCTAAAGGAAATCAGTCCTGAATATTCATTGGAAGGACTAATGCTGAAGCTGAAGCTCCAGAACTGTGGCCACCTGATGCGAAGAGCTGACTCATAAGACCCTAAAGCTGGGAAAGATTGAAGGCGGGAGGAGAAGGGGGTGGCAGAGGCTGAGATGGCTGCATAGCATCACGAACTCAACGGACATGAGTTTGAGCAAACTCCCGGAGATAGTGAAGGACAGGGAAGCCTGGTATGCTGCAGTCCATGGGGTCCCAAAGAGCTGGACACGACTTGGCAACTAACCAACAGCAACAAATAGTCAGCTTGGCAGCAGCTGACTTCTGCCAGTTGAGAATGAGGACTCCTCTTTTCAGATTTTCCAAATTTTCAAGAGAAGCTAGAAATCTAGATTAGAAAGCTACATTTTTCATGTGGAATCTGATCTGAGAGGGGAGGGCACCTGGTCCTGTGGCATGCAGGATCTTAGTTCCCTGACCCGGGCTCCCTGTCCGGGAAGCGAGGAGTCCTAACCACTGGACTGCCAAGGAAGTCCATGGCATCTGACTTTTATATGGTTTCTACGGTTTTAAAGTTAATACAGCAAGAGGGGTCATTATGTACAGGACAAACAAAACGCAAAACGCATCCAGTAGTGAAGTCTGCCCAGGTGCTCCACCTTGTGACCTCTGATCTCTACAATAACACATGGATCTCAGTGAGAGGATAAGCAAGCGATTTTTGTTATGGCAGTGAGTGCATGATTGTAGCCCAGGAGAAAGCAACAGCTACGTTTACTTACAGATCCCTATGTCATCAAAGCAGTCAAAGGTGCCGGTTTGCCAGTCACTAGACGCCGAGACCACCGAGCCATAACCTGGCTGCGAGACAACTGGGTTCATTTTTAAGACTGAGTTTAAAAGGGTACTGCCTGTGAAAACAAAACCAAGAAATTACTTAACACCTAACTGTATTGGTTGGATATAACATAGATATCAATTCAGAAAGCATTTCACTGCACCTCCTTTGGTTGGAGTCAGTCACATTCAACCAACTTAGCATAATGTTTCCAGACTATTGCTGATATTTGAGAATTAAAAATATAAAAAGATAGAAAAGCAACATAAAGGAGAAGGGATGAGGATTCCATTCTCAGGTTGTCTGGTTGTGTATGTGTGTGTGTGTATTTGTGTGTTTTCCCCATTCACCAAGTCCTCTTTTATCAGCAAGATGATTTTTTTGTGTGTGTTGTTTTCAGACAACTATCTTGCATTTGAAGTATTTTTATTTAATGGTCATTATAATCAGTTTTTACAAAGCAAGTTCACAAGCATTCTCTCATTTGCTCTTCTGTAAATGTAAAAGTTGTTTACTTCTCCATAAAATTGGTGTTATGAAAGCAGATGTTTCTGGCTAATGTCAGCATTAGCAAACTGATTACTAGTGGTATCCTGACAGCCAAAGTTTACCTGGAAAAAGATGAATTTCTCTTTGTGAAGGTTTCTCCGAAAAAAGAGGCTTTAAGTCCCACAGAAAAACCCAGTGGTTGCAAAACCACTAAGAAATGGTGTCCCCCCCTATACTTCTCACATTTCATCCAGTGATCGTTAAGTCTTGTGAGCTGTTACCCAGTAAGAACTCTCAAGAGAGAGAATGTCTTTGATCTCATTAATGACTAATGCGAAAACTTTCTCTTTTCTTGTATCGAATCTAACTATGCTGTGCTCGGTACTTTTAAATTTTATTTTTTAGTATTTATTTATTTCTTTGGCTGTGCTGGGTTTAGTTGAGGCCCACGGGACCTTTGATCTTTGTCGCAGCATACAGAATTTTTAGCTGCAGCATGTGGGATCTAGTTCCCTGGCCAGGGATCGAACCTGGGACCCCTGCCTTGGGAGGGAGGAGTTTTAGCCACTGGATCACCAGGGAAGTCCGCGTGCTCTGTTGTTTGGTCCTGGGTCACTTTCAATACTTCCCTTGACTAGTTGGAGGGCAGCCTCTACCCACATTTCCCATCGCTTTACTCCCTTCAGTCTTCCTCCGCTATGTTGCTAAGGAAGTCTCCAGTCAAAGATTCTACTGCTGTGGTTCCCAGTCCTGACTGTGTACCACGTTCATCCTTGCGCTTGGTTAAAAATACAGATAGATGTAGTGGATATGCAATAGGATATTGCTGAGCTAATTAGCAGAGAGGTGATGGTTAAAAGTCATGAGGATGGATAGTATTCCCTTGTCTAACCGAGTGAATTTAAATTCGCGAAGGATAAGACACAAACTTTTCAATACTTATGTAGAAGTGTTTTGCATTTCTCATTATAAAGGAGTCTTATTAATTAAAATCTTCTACATAGAAGTTATTTTCCACAGGTTTGTTTACAAACCAGTGTTAGAAAATCGCTGTCACCTTGTTAGCTAACATTTGTGATATAACTTATTTAAATACAATATAAAACTTGCTTATAACCGGCAACGTTTTCTTTTCTTTTCTTTTTTTAAATTTACTGGAGCCTATTATACAGAGTGAAGTAAGCCAGAAAGATAAAGACCAATACAGTATACTAACGCATGTATATGGAATTTAGAAAGATGGTAATGATAACCCTATATGCAAAACAGAAAAAGAGGCACAGATGTACAGGACAGAATTTTGGACTCTGTGGGAGAAGGTGAGGGTGGGATGTTTTGAGAGAACAGCATCAAAACATGTATATTATCTAGGGTGAAACAGATCACCAACCCAGGCTGGATGCATGAGACCAGTGCTCGGGCCTGGTACACTGGGAAGACCCAGAGGGATCAGGTGGAGAGGGAGGTGGGAGGGGGGATCGGGATGGGGAATACTTGTAAATCCATGGCTGATTCATGTCAATGTATGACAAAAACCACTACAATATTGTAATTAGCTTCCAACTAATAAAAATAAATGAAAAAAAAAAGAAAAAAATTTACTGTGGGTAAGAACCAGCTGAAGGGGTTTTAAAATTATACATCCCTAGGAATTTGGATTTAACTTAAAAAGTCTAGAAAGGGATTGAGGGATCTATGTATTCAATAAGTACCAAAGTGCTTCTTAAGGGAGAAGGGCTGATAAAAAGATGTAAGAGTGGTGAAGGGGACCAGCTGTTTTAGTGCCTAATCTGACTGCTTTTAAATCTATGTCATATTTGTTTGACTGCTTTCCCAACCACTGATTCTTCTGAGAACCAAATCAAAAGAGGGCAAGAAGAGAAAGGAATAATTCATTCAAAATCTTTTTATCCAGCAAGTCTGGCCTTATTTTGATATTGGGTGTAGGTACAAAGCCAGAGGGGAGATATCAGAACTTTGAATAAGAAGAAGAAATGGAGAAGAGAACTCATCAGGTAGGACTCTCCAGTAGTGAAATAGAAGACCTAAAACTGCAGAGACACTTGCACAGCACCGGAAGGAGAGGTATAATAATTCACAGAGGAAGTGGTGGCATTTATTTTCAATCAAAATAAGTCTGTTCTAGAAAGAGACTCACAGAATTAGAGAAGGAACTTATGGTTGCCAGGGGGTGGGGGTGGGGGTGGGGGGAGGAGGAAAGGTGGGTGAAAGGACAGTTAGGGAGCTGGGGATGGACATGTACACACAGTGATATTTGAAATGGGTAACAAATAAGGTCCTCCTGTATAGCACAGGGAACTCTGCTCAATGTTACGTGGCAACCTGGCCGGAGGGGAGTTTGGGGGAGAATGGATACATGTATATGTATGGCTGAGTCCCTTCCCCTTTCACCTGAAACTGTCATAACAGAAGTGTACCAAAAACTAAAGCAAAAAAACAAGTCTGCTCTGTGAATCTCTTTGACCTCGTGAGGGGTGTAAGATAAACATCGGACCCAGGGACCTGAGCTGAAGTCCAAACATATGACCTGGGAACAGGTTTCTTGTTTTTTTGTTGTTTTTTTTAATCATTTGTTCTGGGAAAACTTAGGAAGGCTGACTGGAGAGCATGTGACTCTTGTGTAGGCAAGATAGTAGACATTCTAGACAGTGAAAATAATGTGAGGAAACGCCTAGGAGGGAAAAAGAGTGTGGAAGGCATGAGGAACAGTGAAGACATTTGCTTTTGGGAGCAGGAAACAGGGTCAGAGTGCACGACAGGTGTACTTCAGGGTCTCTTTCTTATAATCGAAGCAGACACTGCTGATCGATCCTGGAATGTTCCTGTTGGACGTATCGTCACAAGACAGGCTATCAGAGGCGCCTACTGTTTGATCAGAGTTGGCACATGATACTTAAGAAATAGTTACAAGCAAGAGTAAGCTGTATAGGTAATGTGTGGTTCAGCTCTGAATGTTACAGATGTACCCCTGACCTCAAGAAAGAATTATCCATTACTTTAAAAATTATTTACTGGGAAAATCAGTATAGTTAACATATACAGAAAGCTGCTTCTGCTATTGGGTGTGTGTATACTATTAAAGAAAGAGCAATGTGCCAGTAAGACTATGTTCTTGACAGAAACTGCTTTATAATAAAAACCAGTGTTTTGGTTATCAGTATAGGTAATCAAAATCAGTCTAGCCAATATATCAAAAAGGAAAACTGTCCTTAAGTACTTCTCTAGAGACCCCAAAGCTAAAAATTACAGGGCAAAAACTGTATCTTAAATATTCTTCTAGTGCTTCATTTATTTGTTGTGTTGAGTCGTTTATAGAGTAAGGATAAAATTTGCTGTATTTGACTTTTTTTCCTATTTATTTTTATTAGGGAGGCTAATTACTTTACAGCTGTGTTTGATTTTTTAAAAAAAGAACGAATAATTTCCTAAATAAGAAATATTGATAAAAAAACAAACAAACCTGGAATGGGCAAATGCTACCATTGCTATATATGAAAACATCTGTCCTGGTATGTATTGTGTATCTATTAATTCAGTTCCCAGTCTAACACAGGGACTCATGCCACTTGCTTTAAAATCCCCAAATTTCCTTCCTTAAAGTAAAATTTTTAGAAAAAGTGAAAGTATTAGCTTCTCAGTCATGTCCAACTCTTTGTGACCCCATGGACTGTAGCCCACCAGGCTCCTCTGTCCATAGAATTCTCTAGGCAAGAATACTGGAGTGGGTTGCCATACCCTTCTCCAGGGGATTTTCCCAACCCAGGAATCGAACCTGGGTCTCCTGCATTGCAGGCAGATTCTTCACAGTATGAGCTACCAGGGAAGAGGTATATTTTAAAAACACCCTACAATATATGTGTGTATGGATGTGTATGTGTGCATATATGTGCTTATTTACAGATTTTGCACTTCTGAATATCAGAGATAGACCTTCACTGAGGGGCAATAGAGATCAGTGATTCTTAAATTATGATGTGCTCAGGACTCACCAAGGTGTCCTTTTAGAAAGCAGATCCCTATTCAGTAGATCCAGAGTGAGACCCAACATTTGCCTTTTTAACAAGCTCATGGCTGGTGTCAATGCTATTGGCATCTGGCCCACACTTTGAATAGCCCAGGCCTAGATCATGGTTAGGAACTGGTGGAGACAAATGAACCTGGATTCAAATCTATTTTCCACCCTCTCTGTGTTCTCAGACAATTAAACTAAATTCTCTGAGCCTCAGTTTTAGCACCTTTAAAATGAGTGTAATCTGACTTTCTTCTTTGTTGTGTTAATGCGATGAGACTAGGTCTATTAAGCCCCTTGTTCCCTGTGTGTCAGTGACCTGACATTGTCTGTTTTACACTAAGTGCGGCCAAGTAGCAGTGTCTATGCGTGACTTATTGATACAGAAAAGCACCTGGGATTAATGGGTTCGAAGTCAGAAAGCTTGGATGTTAGTCATTGCTAGTGTTTGGGAAGCTCAAATGAGAATACATACGTGAAGACATTTTGAAACCTGCAAATCACCATACAGATGGGAGAGCGTCTAAGTGCCAGCGAACATTGATGGAAAAAATCTGAATGTGATATGTTGCCAATACGACCATAGCTTATGCTTATAGAGAGTGCTATGCTTCCCATGTTTGGTTCCTACTTAACACTGGTCTCTATTTAATATTCAGGTCAGAGCACTCAGGGGATTAGGCTGTTAAGACTCTTTTCACTGCAGACAAGAATACTGAAGCTAAGAGGGTAAGCGCCAAGGCCAAGGAAAAATCATGATTGCTAGTTGAACTTCTTTAATTTATAGATGAGAAAATGTAGCTTGTCTCAAAGATTGCATGTTGGCTCTACCTCCTCTTCTTAGTCTCTTCAGGGAAAAGATATGGGGAGCATCTTATGGGAAATGTTATAGGAACCAAAAGATGAGAAAATGGACCGAGAAGCATGAAGAAGCATGACCTTAACCAGGTTGTGGACTCTGGCCCTAGGCTCCATCTCTCCCAGTGACTAACTACATGACCTTGGGTGAGTTACTTCACCTCTCTGTGCCTCAGTTTCCTCATCTGTGAAATGGGGGATATCAATAGTACCCCAGTTACAAAGTTGTCATGAAGATTAAATGAGTTGATGTTTGAAAAGTCCTTTGAGGGAATCTTGGCAGAGTAAATACTCCATGAATGTTAGTTAAATAAAAACAGTGGTACTTGGCCCTGGAGGAAACAATACTTCCCCCGTCCCATACTTCTTTTATACTTGTAGGAATTGCAAAGTGTGTGTAGTTCTCCCACAAGGCTACAGAAGAAAGAGCACTGATAGAGGAAACAGAAGATAAAGCCACACAGAAAATAAGCCCTGGTGGTCCAATGGCTAAAAGCACATGCTCCCAAAGTAAGGGGCCCAGGTTTGATCCCGGGTCAGGGAATTAGACCCCACACGCTGCAACTAAAACGATCTCATGACCCTCAACTAAGACCCGGCACAGCCAAATGAATAAATAAATATTTTTAAAAATTGGTCCTAAAAAGGGAAAGAAGCCACATGTCCAAAGTGACAGACTGGCAGGGCTGGGATTTGAATTCAGTTCTAAGGGATTCCAGAAACTTCATTCTTCTTCCCACTGACCTCTATAAATCAGGGACCAGTTGAAATGAACAAACCCTGTTCAGTTTTTTCCTAGAGGGTCCCTTCTCAGGTGAACTTTGGGACCTCAGGAAGCTAGACAGTTTGTGACTACTGTTTTTTCCTAATGTACACATGTACATATGTATGTATTTTTAATGTCTTGAAACCAGTCAATGAAAACTTGACCTAGAGTATGCAGTACATGTGGAGAGAACTGGTTCTCAACCAGAGACGATTTCAACTCCTGGAGGACATTGGGCAACGTCTCGAGACATTTGGGGTTGTCCCAACTTGGGGACAAGTATGTAGAGGCCAAGGATATTTCTAAACATCCTGAAAGCACTTTTTTTTTTTTAAAGAAAAGAATTTTCCATCACCAAATGTGAATTGGGCTGAGGTGAGAAAGTGGTTTAGAAAATATCATTAACATCATGAAACATGAGCCTGGGGCAGAAACATGAGCCTGAAGCCTGTTGAATGCAGTCTCCTAGCAGACATGGATGAGCAGTCCTTGTGAGGAATGAAACCTTACTCATTGCTTCTGAGTTAAAAAATGTTCAAAGTGGGGGCTCCCCTGGGTTCCATCCCTGGTCTGGGAGCTAGATCCCATAAGCCCCAACTAAGACCCTGTGCAGCCAAATAAATAAATATTTTTTAAAAATGTTCAAAATGCAAGTGCTGAAGGATCAGGCCAGGATCCTGGTCCCCTCACAGGTATTTTTCACATCCTATTCTGTGATGCTTCTTCTGTGTGGCAAGTCCTATTGGGACTTGCCTCCAAACCTGCCTCTTGTCTCTTCCTTCTGCTTATTGTTCCTAGTTGACCGTTTAACCTCTCCAGTTCTACTGTTTTTTTTTTTTTCTTTAAATAGCCCTTTAATTGAAATGCAATATAAAGTTGCTCAGTTGTGTCCTAATCTTTGCGACCACATGGACTGTAGCCTGCCAGGCTCCTCTGTCCATGAAATTCTCCAGGCCAGAATACTGGAGGCGGTAGCCGTTCCCTTCTCCAGAGTGTATATATATACAGTAAAGGATAGAAATTGTAAACATGATTGATGAATTTTCATCAAGTGAATTCTTGAAACCACAACCTGAATCGAGAACTAGGACATCATAGAACCCCAGAAGCCCTCCTTACTCTCACAGGGGCTCTAACCCTCCACCCAGAGGCAACCTCTATCCTTTCTTCTAACATCAGAAGCTCGTTTTACCTGTGTCTGAGCCTTATATTTATTGAATTATAAACATTATTTATTCTTCTAGTTCTTGCTTATTTTGCTCATTGCTGTATAATATTCCATTTTATAGACATACCACAATTTCTTGATCCATGCTACCATTGTATTGTTTGCAGTCTGGACTGTTACCAATAATACGATACTACTATGAACATTCTTGTACATATCTTTAGGTGAACTATGTATGCATCTCTGTTATATCTATATCTAGGAGTGGAATTGTTGGGTCCCAAGGTTTGTAAATAGTGCCAAACAGTATTCCAAAGTAGTGGCACTAATGTACACCTCCATCAGTAATGTATGAGAGCTCCCGTTGCTCCACATCCTAGCCCATATCGGGAAATGCCGCTATCTTTATTTTTACTCATAGACTTCTAAAGAATCTGGGAAGCAGGCACCTAGGTTTAAAATTGAGAAAAACAGAAACTATGGTTAAATGATTAAATAGAGTCATCACAGTTATGAAAAAAATACAGATTATTCAGTTAAATTTGAAAATTATGTCCCAAGCAATATTTGAGCTACACTAAAAAAATTGTTATTTGAAATTCAAATTTAACTGGGCATCCTATATTTTACAGGGTTGGAGGGTTGGAGAAGGATTTTGGTATGAGGTAATACTAGTGTAGGGGCAGTTACGGCTCCCCACACTTACAGGAATGGGAAGTGA